AAAAAAAAAAAAAAAAAAAAAAAAAAAAAAAAAACTATTGGGACGCCTAAACAACCAGATTGGAAGATAATTTTTCAAGATGGTTCTCTCTTCAAAAGCTTTTTTCTTTTTCTATTTTTCAATATGTACCTCTCTCTTTTCAAAGAAGTATCCGATGCATTTTCCCAAATAGATTTCGTAATCGAGGAATTGTTTTAACCATTACTTGCATATGCCGAAAAGAGGAAGGAAAAAAAAAAGAGCATCATTTAACAGCCAAGAAAACAAAAACTAAGATTATCAAATAAATATTTGGGAAAATTATGTCAATGCCCCAAAAACAAAATCTTCATGTGGTGCAACCCCTTTGATTTTTTTTCCCATGTGGTTCATCCCTTAAATTGGAGATATATGTTCTGTACCCCTCTTTTAGCAATTATTATCTGTCAACTAGGCATAGACAGAGAATAAATAGTAAAAAACCCCAAAATGCCCTGATCTCATCTATTCTTTCATGTTAAGTGTAAAAACAAGTTGAATTAGACTTAACATGAAAGTCTATTTCATGTTAAGTCTAATTTAATTCTTTTTATATCTAATTTAAATCATGTTATGTCTAATTCAACTTGTTTCAAGTCTAATTTAATTCATGTTAAGCCTAATTCAACTTGTTTTAAGTCTAATTTCATGTTAAGTCCAATTTAATTTATATTAAGTATAATTTAATTCCTTTTAAGTCTAATTTAAACAGTGTTATGTCTAATTCAACTTATTTTAAGTCTAATTTAATTGGACTTAACATGAAATTAGACTTAAAAAGTTGAATTAGATTTAACATGATTTAAATTAGACTTAAAAAGAATTTAAAATGATTGAAATTAGACCTAACATGAACTAAATTTAGACTTAACATGAACTGAATTTAGACTTAACACGAATCAAGTTGGACTTAACATGAAATTAGACCTAACATGAACTGTTATTAGACTTAACATGAACTGAATTTAGACTTAACACGAACTAAGTTGGACTTAACATGAACTGTTATTAGACGTAACATGAACTATATTTAGACTTAACATACACTGAAATTGGACTTAACACGAATAAAGTTGGACTTAACATGAAATTAGACCTAACATGAACTGTTATTAGACGTAGCATGGACTGAATATAGACTTAACATGAACTGAAATTAGACTTAACACGAATCAAGTTGGACTTAACATGAAATTAGACCTAACATGTGTTGGCCTCTTTGTTTTGATGATGTTTAACAAACAATTTACATCTAATATTGTTTGTCTAGTGTTTGTGTTTTATATTTATTCTAGGCAAACAATATGTTTGAGGTTGGATGGAATTGCGCTTCAACGATCATATCAAATGGAGGTTGGCGGAATAGTGGGTGAAGCCTATGCAATTCAAGTTGAAGATCCAAGTTCAAGCTTCTTCCGTAAGTGTACCAAGTCGAGCTTATTGAAGATCAAGATCTAGCTTGGGTAACATTAGTTTAGGTTTATATTATGTGTGTTAGTACTTTAAGTTCAACCATACACACACATACACGTTTTGGTTTCTATGTATATATATAGTTATATATATATATATATATATATACATGCATGTTTTGGTTTCCAAGTTTATATAAATATGAAATTACATATTTTATATTTATTATTGTGTTTTGGTTTAATTTCATAGATATGAAACAAATGTATATTCATATACATCCTCATATGTTTCATACTCTATTATGTTTGAATTTATATTGCATATAATATGTAATTTTATGAAAATATTATTTTATTGGTTTTTGGACTTAACAATAATCATATACATATTTTACTAAGTCTATATAATCATTTTGTAATGTTTCAAAATATGGTTTATGTCCAATGTCAAAAACAAGTATTTTTCATTTACATGTTTTGGACTATTTTGTAAAATGATGAGATTTTTTATTTGGGAGATGATTTTTAAAAACCTATTTTTGTAGCATGTTTATTATCATGTCTACAATTATTTTTTAAAGTTTTACATTTTTTTGAATTTATTTGATATTTTTAAACTCAGTTTAAAGTTGAGTTTTTCTGTGCACTTCAGGTCTGTGCATGTTTAGTCGACTCATAAGTCGACTCACGAAGTGCAGCAGAGTTGTGATTTTTTTCTGTTGGGTCGACTCATATAAGCCGACTCATTAGTCGACTCATAAGTCGACTCTTGAGTCGACTCATAAGTCGACTTATCAGAGAGCCGTTGCACAGTAACGGTTAGTTTCCAGATTTGTTTATTTTAATTTTTTATGGGATTTTGTTGGATTCTTGGGTTGGTTTCTTCAAGCCTATATATACCCCTTTACATTAACTATTTTTAACTAACTATGAAAATGTTTTAAACAAGTTTAAAGAGTTTTTAATCAAGGGTTTAAGTTTGTTTAATGTTTGTTTAGAAGCTTTTAAGCAATTGAGGGTTTGAGTTTGTGAATTCAATTCCACAAGAGCTTGAGGAGATCATCTATTGGAGTTTGAGCAATCAACTATTCTCCCTCCATCTCTTGTCATCTATTAAGAAGTTTTCTAAACTCTTTTCTAGCTTTATATTTATTTGTTTAATTATCATCTTATTAAAGCTAGTTTTATATTGAGTTTAGATTTGATTAATCTCATTTTTACACACCCACTTGAGCTTATTGTATTTGCATTCATAATATATTTGGGGTTGTGAGAGATAGTAACATTGAGTTGAGCCTAATTGAGTTCTCACCTTGTTTAGAGAACAATCATTTGTTGTGAGCCTTAATTGTGTAGATTACTTTGTAATACACTAGTACGTACACCAAGAAGAGTGTGTGGTGAGGACGGAGTCGATACCGAGAGGAGTGGCGCCGGTGGCCTAGTGAGAGGTTATAATTCCGAGAACTTGAGGGAGTCGATACGTGAGGACTAACACTTGAGGTTGTACCTTGTGTATGTACTTTGTGAGGATTTGTGAGAGTTGTCGGTTGACTTGATAACCGAGTATGTAGAGTTTTCGGTTAGCTAGAAAACCGATTTTGTAGAGAAGTTCCGGCTTCCAAACCGAGTTGTGTAGTGGATTCTCCCCGGGAGTGAGGAGCGGAGACATAGGACGGAAGGTCCGAACTCTGTGATTATTTGATTGTATTTGAGTTTGCATTGATGTTCATTTATACTTGTTCTCATTGCTCATATCGTCTTTGTCTCATTATTTAGTTTGTCCACTATATTGTTTACACTTTTGTTTACCCATGTTTATATTGCTTATCCTTGCATATATCTCATTGCATATCTTATTTGCTAGGATATTTGTTAATTAGTTTTTAATTGGCATTAAATCGGATTAGATTAGTATAAACCCTACTCACCCCCCTCTAGGGTTCTTTCCTAGTGGCATTAGGGTCTAACAACATGAACTGTTATTAGACTTAACATAAACTGAATTTAGACTTAACACGAATCAAGTTGGACTTAACATAAAATTAGAGTTAACATGAACTATTATTAGACTTAACATGAACTGAAATTAGACTTAACACGAATCAAGTAGGACTTAACATGAAATTAGACTTAACATGAACTGATATTAGACTTAACATGAACTGAATTTAGACTTAACATGAGCTGAAATTGGACTTCACACGAATCAAGTTGGACTTAACATGAAATTAGACCTAACATGAACTGTTATTAGACCTAACATTAACTGAATTTGGACTTAACACAAATCAAGTTAGACTTAACATAAAATGTTATTAGATTTAACATGAACTGAATTTAGACTTAACAATCATGTTAGATTTACATGAAACTAGACCTAATATGAACTGTTATTAGACTTAACATGAATTGAATTTAGATTTAACACGAATCAAGTTAGACTTAACATGAAATTAGACTTAACATGAACTGTTATTAGACTTAACATGAACTGAATTTAGACTTAACACGAATCAAGTTGGACTTAACATAAAATTAGACTTAAAAGAAATTTTTTTTTAACAACAATCAAATTGGTCTTAATATGAAGTAAAATTGGACTTAACATGAAATTAGACTTAAAATAAGTTAAAATAGACTTAACATGATTCATGTTAAGTCTAATTCAACTTATTTTTAGACTTAAAATAAGTTGAATTAGACATAACATGATTTAAATTAGACTTAAAAGGAATTAAATTAGACTTAATATGAATTAAATTGGACTTAACATGAAATTAGACTTAAAACAAGTTGAATTAGACTTAACATGAATTAATTAAATTATACTTAAAATAATTTAAATTAGACTTAACAAGATTTAAATTAGACTTAAAACAATTT